AATATTCTAATTTCCGCCACAGAACGCCAGTCATGTATTGGATTGCCATTTACCTTAAATTCCCTCTTGGGGGTTCTATCTCCAAATACAGTCACCTTCTAAGGGTGGGGAGTTAGGGCTTCCAGCTTTTGTGGGGGTGGCCCGGAGTGGGCAGGGGTAAATACAGTTCAGCCCATGTAGACGCTGTTCACTGGGCCTGCTGGAGCGCGAGTCTTTGCTGAGAACCCACATGGCGTTCTGCAGCAGCATCCACAGGTGACAATTTCAAATCATCTTTTAAATTTCATTTGCATGGGTGACTTTATTGCGGCTGCAGCTACATCCCCGAAAGAAGGCCTGGAAAGAATATTAACTTTGAGGCCAGCCCAAAGTTACGTTTGGCTGTTCGAGGGTTCAAGAGAGATGCCACGGTGCCAGAGGAGGAGCACCAAGTGTGCATATATGACAGGTAGGAGGCCCTGCAGGGTGCTGCTGGCTCGCTTACAGTGCTTGGTGTGTGCACTAGGAAAAGGCGCAAAGGGTGGCTGGGCATGGCTCCACGCACCAGTCCTATGCCCTTTGGAGGAGGCCTCGTGAGGTGGATGGCTTAGTACGGGAGTTTTGGGGCCCAGCCTGGAAGCATGTGAAACTCTGTGCACAAATACAAAAAATTTGCAGCATGGTGGCAAGCACCTGGTCTCAAGCTCATACTCGGGAGGCTGAGGTGGAATCGCTTGAGCCCAGAAGGTGGAGCTGCAGTGAGGCCCGGGTGCTGCCACTGCACTCCAGCCTGGGTAACAGAGTGGGCTTGGTTTCAAAATAACAAATAAAAATAAATAAAAGCACATACTCAAAGGCTGAGTCATTATGCGGTAACAGGCCTCTACGGGTACCACATTACAGTGTATGAACCTCAAGGACCCTATCTGCAGTGGCCACAGTGTAGCTTGGCAGAGAAGTGGCAGCATTACTGGCCAGGTGTATCTCAGACAGGCCTGGTTAAATCCCTACAGCATTACCACTTCATTGTGTCTGTGACCAGAGACAGGCTCGCTGTGTCTTTCATTTACTATCCCTACTGGAAATGATCCCTCTGGTACTCTACTCACTTTGAGAATCTGATGTAAGTCAATGAAGCAGCATGTATGAGCTGCTTTGGCGCGTCACCTGGCGCTCTGACCGGGTCCCAACTCTATTCATTAACTCTGACATTCATTGTTCCACTTGTAAGGGCTTACCACAATTGATTTAATCCTATCATTGGGCATTGCAGGTTATGCCACCAAAGGGTTTTGCTGTTATATGCTGCTAAAATCAATATCCTCTGTGCATTTTTGTATGCAAATACTTGTAGATTTCCTCAGAAACAACCCAAATGGAGACCAGTAAGTACACGCAGTATTTGCTTACTTTTTGAAGCTTCAGGTATACTATTCTAAATGCAAATCACATTACATTTAAGTCCTAGCATTCCGCCAGCGCTTTTTTAAGTCCCCTTCAAGGGGATTTTCAAACAGCTTTTCATGGCAAGCTCCTGCCTTCAATGGCACAGAGAGTGGGGGAGTATACAAAGGGCATCATGAATGTGAAGTGATCTTCACATCACAAGAGACCACAGGTGAGGAAGCCCTTGAAGCCTGGTCCCAGGTGGTGGCCCAGTTCCCAGGCGCTCCAGCCTACAGGAAAAGTGGCCAGGAGGCTGTTATCTGCATAGAGGCACACACCCAGGCCCTTCTCAGGTTTTCTTACCAAGTTTAGGTCTGAACAGGCACCCATCACCGCTGACCTCAGCTTTGTTCCTCTTGGAACTTTTGAGACTAATGCACCTTTGCATAAGTTACTCTACCAGGGGCAGAGCTTAAGGTGCACAGGGGAGTTACAGGGCACTAAGTGCCCCCAGACGTCTACCCCCCTATTTTGAAGGACTTCCAGCAAGCTGGGACGATAGCCTCACTCACTCCTCTGCCTCTGCTGTGGTTGCCACCGCCAGTGGTCCAGTCTCATCTCCAGCGTCATTCTTCTCCTGGCAAATGAGTGGGGAAGTGATTGAATGACGTACAAGAAGAATCAAGAAACTAACATAGCTGCGGTAAAGTGCGGAGGGGGTATAGAACAGGTTAGAAAAAAAGATGTTATTACCACTAAAGGATCCTGATTTTGCCACACTGTATCCCGAGGATGGTGGATTTATATGACATTTGCCTAATTCATTTTTTTATTTTGATGCTCTGAATTTGTTTCTCATAACAATATTAGAACTCTTCATTTTTTTTTTTTTTTGAGACAGCATCCCGCTCTGTTGCCCAGGCTGGAGTGTTGCTTTAATCTTCTTGTGGCTCACTGCCTTCTCTTCCTCTGGTTCAAGCGATTTTCCTGCCTCAGTCTCCCAAGTAGCTGGGATGGGCACCACCACCCGCATGCCTGACTTTCTTTCTTTCTTTTTTGTTGCTTTTGCTTTCCCAGTAGAGATGGGGTTTAGCTCATGTTGGCTCCAGGCTGATCGGGCCTGATCTCAGGCGATCCACTGCCTTGGCCCAAAGTCTTGCTTGGATGAGTGTGAGCCCACTCTCCGGCCTCTGTTGGCTAAAGTCATAGGCCAGTACAGTGGTATATGCTTTTGTAATCCCAGCTACTTCTGGAGCTGGGAGGCAGGAGGAGGATCATGTGGCCGGGTCCAGGAGGTTCAGGCTTTAGAGCAATGCGTCACATGCCTACCCTTGGGCCATACTGCACTGCAGCCTGGGCAACATAGTGGGGCCTGTCCTCTAATGCAATAAATAAAAGTGAAAAATTAAATAAAATAAACTGAAGAAATAAAAAGCCATAAAAATGATATTTTAAAAATGGGATTAAAGACAATGGTCTCAATTCAGTCTTTATTCGTGTTCACATGTTTCTCCAGGCTTTCTCTCTCAAGTGCTATAGTGCTGGGGATCATTCAAAGATGCCCAGGATCTGGCGGTGCCTGGACCAGCCATAGAAATCTTCACTGAATACAGCTGGTCCACACTGCATCCTGGAAGAGTGATCTCAGAAATAGAGGAGCCTTAACATCTCTCTTTTTCTTCCCCCTTTCTGAGTCTTAAAAGCTTTTCTGTCTCTAATTTGATGTGAAGAATTTACATGCATTTAGGTTGAATTAAAAGCCACGCTTTGATGCAGTGGCACACCTGTAATCCCAGCACTTTGTGGAGTTGAGTGGGTGATCACACAGGTCAGGAGTTCAAGAGACCACAATACAGCCAACAGATAAACCCCGTCTAAAAAAAAAAAAAAAAAAAAAAAAAGAAAATTTTCGACTGGGCTTGGTGGCTCATGCCTGTAATCCCAGCACTTTGGGAGGCTGAGGCAGCTAGATCACAAAGTCAGGAGTTCGAGACCAGCCTGGCCAACATGGTGAAACTCCGTGTCTACTAAAAGTACAAAAAATTACCTGGGTAATTTTTTACAGGTGGTAGTGTGCACCTGTAATCCCAGCTACTCAAGAGGTGGAGACAGGAGAATTGCTTGAACCTGGAAGGTGGAGGTTGTGGTGAGCTGAGATCGTGCCACTACACTCCAGCCTAGGTGACAGAGCAAGGCTCCATCTTGAAAACAAAAGAAAAACAAAGAAAAAGAAAATGTTTTTCCTTAGTACAAAAACCAAACAGATTTATTATTTTTGAAAAGCAGAAAATAGGCTGGGCGTGATGGTTCACACCTATAATTCCGGCACTTTGGGAGGCGGAGATGGGTGGATCACCTGAGGTTGGGAGTTTGAGACCAGCCTTAGCAACATGGAGAAACCCCATCTCTACTAAAAAAATAATACAAAACTAGCCAGACTTGGTGGCACATACCTGTAAACCCAGTTACTTGGGAGGCTGAGGCAGGAGAATCGCTTGAACCTGGGAGGTGGAGGTTGCAGTGAGCTGAGATTGCGCCACTGTACTCCAGCCTGGGCAACAAGAGCAAAATTCTGTCTCAAAAAGAAAAAAAGAAAAAAAAAGAAAACCTTTTTTAAAAAGTAGAAAATACAACCATAAATATATACAATTTTTAGCTGTCAATTTAAAAAAAGAAGAAGAGGGATAAAATACATCAGAAACAAAAGAAAATAGATTTGCCACACACACACAAATGGGAAAATAAAAGCACCCACAATGCCAGCATGGAACACAGTTGTAATAAGTAAAATGTTCATTTAGAAGCAGAATGCTTGTTCCCTGGTACCACAAAGAAAAATCAACATTCAGATAAAAAGTTTTCTCAGCAAGCCAATTTTACTTTCTGCAGAAAGGGTGCTCCTCGCAGATGGAACAATGGTGAGAGCACACCTGAATAAAGGAGGGAAGCAATTTTTATCCTTTACTCAGCTTGTCCCTGCTACTGTGTCCTGTCTCTATTGGTTGGAGCCAGACCACACAATCTAAGCTAACCTGACTGGCTAATAATTTAAACGTTTCCTAAATAGGTAAAGGCAAGGGAGAACAAAGGAAAAGAGGAAGTTGCTTATGCCAGATAGGGAAGGGGCAAAGGCTGTGAGCTGGAACGTGCCTGCGAGCATGTCCAGCACAAAAATCTTGGTTAAGGTACAAGGACATAGAATGTACTACATGCCTGTAAGCATGTCTAACAGCTACACAGGATAGGGCTTAACAAAGAGTTATTAGCACAAAGCAAGGAGGCTTGAAGGAAGTTAGTCTTTAAAAGAAACTATTATTTCTAACACTTATGATTTATTCTTTAACAAGAAAGGAAACTTCGAAGAGGAAACTGTTTTACTTTCTACAACAGTCTACCAGTTTTCTCTTAGCCATGAAGGGCAACTGGGAGAAATGAGTCTTTTGTGTAGTAAAAATAGGCAGCCTAATGATCCCGAGATCATTAAAATCTCAGCCACTGGCCGGACCCTCTGGGAACAGGGGACCCAGACAATGCAGCCTGTGCCTTCTGGAGGGGAGAGCCTGTTTCCCTCCAGCAGTATTTGTGAGACCTTGACAAGGGAAGTGTGTGACCTCTGCCTCTTTCCTGTTCCTCAGCTATCAAAGACTTCGTGATTATCCCCCTGCACACCACCCCAGAGACATCCGTTAAAGAGATTGACGAGTTGGTTGACGTCTACATGGACGTGAAACACCGCTGGAAGGCAGAGGTGATGACTGCTGTGTCAGCCGAATTCCCATCTAGCAGGGGCAGGCTCTGGTCCCTGAGTGGGATGAGTACCTCTCCAGGGAGGGGGAGAGGGCAGGGCATGTGCTGGCTACCACCACTTACAGCCTTCTTTAAGGCCTTTCTTCAGCCCTAAGTATCCCTCTTGCTAGATCTGCCTGGGTACCCTGCACGTGGGCTTTGGGAATTCTCACACTTTCCCATTAATAACAGATGCCAACATTTACTGAGTGAATAGCTAGTGCCAGGCACTGTGCTGAGACTTCACATGGACAAGTTTATTTAATCCTCCCAATAATCCCTTGAGGTAGCTACAGTACCTTTCTCATTCTCACTTTGCAATTGAGAAGTGTGAGGCATAGAGCAGTCAGGATTGTTTCAGTTGCAAGGGACAGAATCTTAACCTGGCTCATGAAAAGAAGGAGCAATTGATTGGTCTGTGTAACTGAAATGTCCAGGAGTACTTCAGGCATAGCTGGATCCAGGGCTCAGACAAGAGAATCAGGGCTTGATTTGTCTCTTCCTTTCCATCTCCTGGTCACCCTTTCCTCTATGTGGCTCCATTCTCAGGTTGGCCCCACCCATGGGATGGCAAGATGGCCACCAGCAGCCTCCAGACCAACTGATAAATTTTCTTTTCCACAATGTAACAAATACTGTGGGACTGAGTCTCGTTGGTTCTGACTGGGTCACATGTCCATCCCTGAACCAATCGTTGTGATCAGGGTGTTGAGATACTCTGATTGGCTAAATCTGTGTCCACCCCAGTTTCACCCCAAACTCACAGTTTGAGGTGCAGGAGGGATGGGTGGTCTCCCAAAGAAACTTGGAGTGCTGTTTTCATAGAAGGGGGCACACATTTGCCATCCCTATAGGCTCAGTTCTGTCCACTTTTGGAAGAGAGGGATGCACGACTTGTGGCTGTGAGGGTCTATGAAAGCTCTTCGCAAATATGGAAGTGCACCCAAGAGTTCTTCTTCTGTATTTCTCTTTTCTTCTTTCGGAATGTGACTCCTGTGATCCCCCTTCCTCCTACTGAGTTCCACTACTCCAAGTGCAAAATGAATCAAATAGACTGTGAACATAGTCCATCAGAGCTGGGGCATGGAAAAGACCAGGGGTGTATTTCATTGCTTATTAATAAATAGGTCAAAAGAAAGATTCTTTCTTTCCAAAAATTATGACATCATTCACTTATTAAACAAGAATGTATTGAGCACCTATTGAGTGTCGGGCTGTGGGGAGGCATCAGTGGCCTAAAAGTGAATAACAGGGGAAACTGCTTCAGTGAAGCAGACTTGGATGTGATTCTTTCTTTTTTTTTTTCTTGAGATGAAGTCTCACTCTTTTCCCCAGGCTGGAGTGCAATGGTGCAATCTCGGCTCACTGCAACCTCCACCTCCTGAGTTCAAGAGATTCTCCTGCCTCAACCTCCTGAGTAGCTGGGACTAGAGGCACCTGCCATCATGCCCAGCTAATTTTTGTATTTTTAGTAGAGACGGGGTTTCACCATGTTGGCCAGGCTGGTCTCGAACGCCTGACCTCAGATGATCCACCGGCCTCGGCCTCCCAAAGTGTTGGGATTACAGGCCTGAGTCACTGCGCCTGGCTGGGATGTGATTCTTGACTTCACCACTTGAACCTCCCAGTCCTGTGGCCTAGAGCAGGTCACTTAATCTCTCAATCCTGTTTCTATAGAGGTTAGTGGGCTCTTCTACCTCCTATTGTTTATTGCTGTGAGGTGTAAATTTAAAGACACCTAGTGCTAGGCCTGGCACATAGTGAATGTTCAGCAAATCATGTCTATATTAGCAGAAGCTGGTGATCACTGAGGTTAAGAATGACCCTCTGTCCTCAACTGAACCCGTCAATCACGGGGAAAATTGTGATCACTAAGATCAAAATAAAATGTTCTTGAAGAAAACTCTAAAGTCAGCAATGCCCCACCAAACAATAGCACAAACAAGGAAATCTGGCACTTCCTCTGGATTGTGGAATGTTGAAAATTCTGTTCCAAGAGCCGTGCGGGGAAAAATATTTCCAAGATAGAAAGTTTCTGTTGGTGGCCTTGGGTGGGGGTGGACAGCTCACTTGATGGTCCCCTCCCCTGAAGATGCCTCTCACCTCCTCAAGGAACTGAATTTTCACAGAAATAAGTTTCCAACTTCAAAACAATAGGAGAGAAAGAGTGATGCCAGGGCTGCCAATACACCACCCAAATTCACTTTTCCTGCTTGAAAACAAAAGGCGTTGATTCATTCGTGTGTTTACACCCTACAGCAGTTTGAGCCAGAGACAAAAGATGTGAGGGATAGATTTACTGAATTGTTTTTTTATTCACACCTGACTCTGCATGCTGACTTATGGAATTGTGGTGACTAAGAACAGCAAACATTCTCCTTCCTGTTAAGAACACCCTCACTGGTACGCACTCGCCTGTCATCGACTCATCAAAACTATGACTCAATTTTAAACAACAAAAAGAAATTTTTAAAGACCCTGTATTCATTTGCTAGAGCTGCTATAACAAAGTACCATACCAAAGACTTGATAGCTTAAACAATAGAAAGTCAGTTCATCACCGTTCTGGAGGCTAGAAGTCCCAGATCAAGGTGTGCCAGCGGGGTGGTTTCTTTTGAGGGCCTCTCTCCTTGGCTTGTAGATGGCCATCATCTTCTAGTGTCTTTACATGGTCTTTGCTCCATTTTTCTGTGTCCTAATTTCCCCTTTTTACAAGAACGCCAGTCATATTGGATTAGAGCCCATTTTACCTTAATTCCCTCTTGAAGGTTCTATCTCCAAATACAGTCACCTTCTAAGGTGCTGGGGGTTAGGACTTCAACACAGGAATTTGGCCCGGGTGGGAGCAGGGTAGGCACGATTCAGCCCATAATAGACGCTGTTGTTCACTGGGCCTGGGAGGCGGAGTCTTTGCTAGAGACCCACATGAAAGCGTTCTGCAGCAGCATCCACCAGGTGACAATTTCAAATCTTGTCTTTTAGAATTTCATTTTCATGGGTGACTTCAATGCCGGCTGCAGCTACATCCCCAAGAAGGCCTGGAAGAATATTCGCTTGAGGACCGACCCCAGGTTCGTTTGGCTGATCGGGGACCAAGAGGATACCACGGTGAAGAGGAGCACCAAGTGTGCATATGACAGGTAGGAGGCCCTGCAGGGTGCTGCTGGCTCAGCACAGTGCTTGGTGTGCACTAGGAAAGGCGCAAGGTGGCTGGGCACCATGGCTCACGCCTGTAGTCCTAGCACTTTGGGAGGCCTCGGCGGGTGGATGGCTTGAGTACAGGAGTTTGAGACCAGCCTGGGAAGCATGACGAAACTCTGTCTTTACAAAAAATACAAAAATTTGCCGGGCATGGTGGCAAACACCTATAGTCTCAGCTACTCAGGAGGCTGAGGTGGGAGGATCGCTTGAGCCCAGAAGGTGGAGGCTGCAGTGAGCCAGGATCGCACCACTGCACTCCAGCCTGGGTAACAGAGTGAGACTTAGTTTCAAAAAATAACAAATAAAAATAAAAATAAAAAAAGCACACTGCTTGGAGAGCTGAGTCCATTAAATGTCAGGCCCCTCTACTGGGTACCACATGCAGTGTATGAACCTCAGGACCCTATGCGGTGGCCCTGGGCATTGTAGCTTAGCAGAGGTAAGCACTGGCTTCGGTATCAGACAGGCCTGGATTTAAATCCTGACATTACCACTTCGTATGTCTGTGACCAAGAGACAGGCTCGCTGTGTCTTTCATTTCCTCCCCTGTAAAATGGAAATTATCCTAGTGCCTCACTCATGAAGATCTGATGTAGAGTCAATGAAATAGCATGTCAGGCTGCTAGCACAATGCCTGGCATACGGCAAGTGCTCATTACATTAATGGGCTGTTCATTGTTCCATAACAAAGACTTACCACAATTGATTTGCCCAATCCCTATCATTGGGCATTAGGTTATTACCAAGGGTTTGCTGTTATAAATACTGCTAAAATCAATATCCTCTGTGCATTTTATGCAAATACTTGTGATTTCCTCAGGAAACAACCCCCAAAATGAGACCAATTAGTGCAACGGTATTTGTACTTTAAAGCTTCAGGTATATATTCCTAAATGCAAATGCATACATTTAAGTCCTAGCATTCCCTTATGCTTTTTAAAGTCCCTTCAGGGATTTTCAAACAGCTTTCATCTTCGCTCCTTCAATGCGCACAGAGTGGGGAGTGCCTGAGGCATGTGAATGTTAGTGATCTTCCATCACAGAGACCACAGGTGGGGAAACCCCTAGAAGCCTGGTCCCAGGTGGTGGCCACAGTTCCCAGAGCTCAGCCTGCCACAAGGAAGTGTGAGATGACCATCTGCATGAGAGCCACCAGGCCACTCGTTTTCACTTCTCAAGTTTCGGGGTCTAGCTTTCATTTCCATCCCATGACCTCCTTTGTTCCTCTTGGAACTTTTGAGACTGGTGTTTCCTTTGCATAAGTTATTACTCTGCAAAGTGGAAACCCAAGGTGGGGAGTTACAGGGCACTAAGTGCCCAGACCGTCCCTGCCCCCTATTTTGAAGGACTTCCAGCAAAGCTGGGACGATGGCCACTCACTCACTCACTCGCACATGGCAGTTGTGTGCCCTTGGGTAGGTCAAGTCCCTTCTCCAGCGCCATTCTTCTCCCCTGGCAAATGAGTGGGAAGTGATTGAAAATGATACAGAAGAATCAGAAGGCAACATGGCCACGGTAGATCGGGAGGGGGTAGAACAGGTTAGAAAAAGATGTTTACTAAAAGGATCCTGATTTTATACACATGTATCCCAAAGGATGGTGGGATTACATGTGACATTTTAACAATTCATTTTTTATTTTGATGCTCTGAATTTTGTTTCTTATAACCACATGTAGAACTCTTCTGGCTTTTTTTTTTTTTTTTTTTTGAGACAGCGTCCCGCTCTGTTGCCCAGGCTGGAGTGCAGTGGCACAATCTTGGCTCACTGCAACCTCCGCCTCTTGGGTTCAAGCGATTTTCCTGCCTCAGTCTCCCAAGTAGCTGGGATTACAGGCATATACCACCATGCCCGGCTTTTTCTTTCTTTCTTTTTTTTGTTTGTACTTTTAGTAGAGATGGGGTTTCGCCATGTTGGCCAGGCTGGTCTTGAACTCCTGATCTCAGGTGATCCACCTGCCTTGGCCTCCCAAAGTGCTTGGATTACAGGTGTGAGCCACCATGCCCGGCCTCTCGTGGCTTTTAAAAAGTCATAGGCCAGGTACAGTGGTGTATGCTGTAATCCCAGCTACTTCTGGAGGCTAAGGCAGGAGGATCACTTGAGTCCAGGAGTTCAAGGCTTTAGAGCAATGTGATCACATGCCTGTGAATAGCCACTGCACTGCAGCCTGGGCAACATAGTGAGACCTGTCTCAATACAATAAAATAAAAAGTGAAATTAAATAAAATAAACTGAGAAAATAAAAAGCCATAAAAATGATGTTTTAAAAATGGAGTTAGACAATATGGTCTCAATTCCAGTCTTTGTTCCGTGTTCACATATTTATCAAACACCTCTCAAGTGCTGAGTGCTGGGGGATCATGCAAAGATGCCCAGGATCTGGCCGGTGCCCTGGACCAGCCTCGGAAATCTTCACATGAATACTGGCCTGGTCCTGCACATCCCTGGAAGAAGTCAGAAATAGAGGAGCCTTAAACATCTCTTTCTTTACTTTCTGAGTCTTAAAGAAAGCTTTCACAAATCTCTAATTTGATGTGAAGAATTTACATTTGGGTTGAATTAAAAGCCATAGCCCAGATGCAGTGGCTTACACCTGTAATCCCAGCACTTTGGGAGGTTGAGGTGGGTGGATCACCTAAGGTCAGGAGTTCAAGACCAGCCTGGCCAACAAGACTAAACCCCGTCTCTACTAAAAAATACAAAAATAAGCCAGGCATGGTGGCACACACCTATAATCTCAGCTACTTGGGAAGCTGAGGCAGAAGAATCGCTTGAACCTGGAAGGCAGGGGTTACAGTGAGCTGAGATGGCGCCACTGCACTCCAACCTGGGCAACAGAACAAGACTCTACCTCAAAAAAAAAAAAAAAAAAGTTAGTTGGGGTGGTGATGTTAGCAAATGCAGATACCAAAACTGTCGATTAGAATGGGGAAGGCCCAGTGGGCACTCATGAAATGGCAGTTTGACTCACCTCACCATTCCTCAGTAAATCACTCAGGACCACGTAGACTACAACTGCATCACCCAGCTTGGGATATGTTAGTTTGTTTCCAAAACTCGTTTGACTACCTCATTCTTACTTTTTGTCATTACTGCAAAGCACATATGCTGTGATTTTTCTCTATATTTTTCATTAAATCCCTTAATTTCTTATTGAAATAAATTTTTAAAAGAAATTTCATGGCTGGGCGCGGTGGCAAACAGCGGTAATCCCAGCACTTTGGAGGCCAAGGTGGGCGGGTCATGAGGTCAGGAGATCGAGACCATCCTGGCTAATATGGTGAAACCTCATCTCTACTAAAAATACAAAAAATTAGCCGGGTGTGTTGGCGGGCGCCTATAGTCCCAGCTACTCAGGAGGCTGAGGCAGGAGAATGGCGTGAACCCGGGAGGCAGAGCTTACAGTGAGCTAAGATCGTGCCACTGCACTCCAGCCTGGGCGACAGAGCAAGACTCCATCTAAAAAAAAAAAAAAAAAAAAAAAAGAAAGAAAGAAATTTGATACTAGCAAGAGTAAGAAAGCAGCAGCATTTGCCATAAATTGAAGGTAGTGTGAGAATTAAGTCCAATGAAAGTCATGCATTGTTAAATTCTGCCTTAATTCTCTTGCCTGCAGAATGCTCAGAAATGGCAGCCTACTCTCTGTCAACATGGGACTGAGGGAGGTATTAAAGACAAACCAGCATCTCCCTGAGAATTTCTCCATAATCAAATCAGGGAAAGTGAAAATAATTGAAAAGAAAACAGCTTTCTCAGTACAGAAGTCATTGTTGTGTGGGATAGTGTGCATGTATCATATAAAACCTCCTACTCCACCAGGGACATTGCCCACACTGGGAGATAGTGTCCTGGTGTCCACAGAACCATGGCAGGGACTGATCCTATTTCACAGTTGTAGGCACTGTCCTTTAGGGTCACAGGCTAAAACCAGGTCTGGACTTTGAGTGCCACATGAAAGGGCCAGGCTGCTCAGTCAATTCCAAACAGCAAACACAGACTTTGGTTTGATTTCAGCAGTCACAGGTTGGATTAACACAACTGTTTTTCCTCCCCTTGTTCCAGGATTGTGCTTAGAGGACAAGAAATCATCAGTTCTGTTGTTCCCAAGTCAAACAGTGTTTTTGACTTCCAGAAAGCTTACAAGCTGACTGAAGAGGAGGTAAGGCTGCCATCTTGTCTTTCTATGCCATTGTCCTAGAAAGATGAGTTAGCCTGGGCAATATGATGAGACCCCATCTCTACAAAAAATTCAAAAAAATTAGCTGGGCATGGTGGTGCATGCCTGTGGTCCCAGGCTGAGGTGGGAGGATCACCTGAGTCCAGGAAGCAGAGGTTGCAGTGAGCTGAGATCGCACCACTGCACTCCAGGCTGGGCAACAGAGTGAGATCCTGTCTCCAAAAAAAAAAAAAAAAAAGAAGAAGAAAAAGATGGGTTGATGTCACCCTTTGAGGTCACTGCTGAAGACAGAAGACACAATATTGGGCACTAGACCTTGAGTTTCAATGCCTATGATTTTGTGATTTGAGGCCCTGCCAAAATTTCTGGTCCAGCTGGTCTTGGAATAACACTTACCAGTGTATGTTGTGTGGGGTGACTTTGGGCATTTCATCTCCCCTTCCTGGTCCTGAATTTGCTCATCACTAAAATGAAAGCATCTCCCAGGCATCTCCTAATTTCCGTATCTACCCCCACTTTCCCCTTACAGGCCCTGGATGTCAGCGACCACTTTCCAGTTGAATTTAAACTACAGTCTTCAAGGGCCTTCACCAACAGCAAAAAATCTGTCACTCTAAGGAAGAAAACAAAGAGCAAACGCTCCTAGATCCAAGGGTGTCATCTTATTAACCATTTCTTGCCTCTAAATAAAATGTCTTTAACAGATATATGAACTGCTCCCTGCACTTGGAAAACAAGACTGATCCAACTGCTTTCATTTTTTGACCTGAATTTATTCTGACTTGAGCCAAATTGGAAGGAGAATCTTTTATATCTCTTTTGGCCTCATACCTCCCCTGAATTGTCCAAAAGGGAACCAGGGGCATTTGTAGCCCAAAATGATGGTCTTCATGCCCTGAGCCAGAGCCCCATCCTCTGTCACTGGGCCTGCTCAGCCCTGTCATGCGAGAGGCCGCAGGGGGAGGAAGAGCGTCAGCTTTCAGTTCTCCTGAGGGGTCCTGTTCCACGGGCAATGACCAGAAACACCAAGGCCCCAGCTGCCCCTGTGATTTGGGCAATTAACTGTTTTAAGAATCTGCCCCCTCCTGTGTGAGGTCAGGCCACCATCACGTCTCACAGGGTGAAGGATAAAGGCCACTCCCGCCTGGTTTCTCTGCCTTCGAATTGTCCTCCTCCAATTCAGTCAGCCCAGGAAGCACCAGTGTCATCCTCTGAAATATTAATCTGACCACAGCCCACCCTCAGTCCCACCCCGTGCCCATAAATCCTTCAGTGGCTCCCATCACCATCGGAGAGAGCTCAGTCTTGGCCACCATGAAGGTCTCTGTTATCTGGTATATTGCACCAGCCCCACCTTCTGCCAGGGTTGCACCCTGAACCCCTGCTCCAGGAGGATGTCCTCCGCCCTGCACCCCCATGCAGTCCCTCCCTGGGGGCCTTGGCTCTGCCCCCACATGCCCTGCCCTATCCCAGAGCCTGGGTCAAGTGCCCCCAGCCCCCATGTGCACCCTACCTCTATTGCAACATCTACCACATTGTATTTCTCACCAGGGCCAGTGTTGGGGGTCTTTGGGGCCCCAGTGTGACAAACACCTTGTGGACTGGCTGGGGTCAAGGATTTTGTTATCTTTCTGCAATCAAGGAGGTTCATTGGAGTCCAACAACACAGCACCATTTAGCCTGTATGCCTGTTTTTGTTTGTTTTGCTTTGTTTTCCCTGATGTTTCTTTGTTCAAGTCATACATGAACATGGCTAAATGTGCAGGCAGTACCGAAGAATAAGCAGGGAAAAGGAATGCCGCGCCCTGACCCCATCCCCGAGTTTCCTGTCTCAGAAACAGCCCCTCTTCCCAGCTCATGTGTTTTTCCAGAGAGACTGCACAGAAATGAGCACCATATGTAACCTTAAAAATATATGCACGGTTCCACTCCTTGCTTTTTCCCTTTCATATATTGGGGATGATGTGACTTTTGATGTAGGAGAAAAAGATCTTAAGTCTGACACTTGAAATTATGTAACATCTGACTGGGGAAATAAAATCAAGAGGGCCCTGATTAAGCAGGGGAAGCCATCTTCCTCAAATGTCCAATTAACCTCATTGGACAAAGGTCTCATGAATTGGTGAGGGGGAGGGATGGCAAGGCTACTAACACATCTGTCACCCTTCTCCTAAGCCAGGGCTCACTGTTCCAGGAAACTTGCCAGTTTCCAAGGTCCAACATGGTCAAACAAGTTCAGGCATGGTGGCTCATGACTGTAATCCTAGCACTTTGGGAGGCCAAGGTGGGCCGATTGCCTGAGCTCAGGAGTTCGAGACCAGCCTGGCCAACATGGCGAAACTCCGTCTCTACTAAAAATACAAAAAATTAGCCAGGCGTGGTGGGTACACTCCTGTAGCCAGCTACTGGGAGGCTAAGGCACAACAATCACTTGAACCCGGGAGGTGGAGGTTGCAGTGAGCTGAGATCGTGCCACTGCACTCCAGCCTGGGCGACAAAGTGAGACTCTGTCAAAGAAAAAAAAAAAAAGGTCAAGCAAGTCATAAATTGGCTTATTCCGGAGGGAGAGGCTCATCCTTCTGTCCCATAGAGCCATAGTCTCTGCCGCCTACCAGCTGTGGGACCTCGAGCAGGCTACTTACCTTTAGTTTCCTTATGTGTAAAATACAGATAATAAGAGAATCAACCTCATAGGTAAAGTTTAAATAAGGTGATGGGTGTAAACCATGGAGGATGTGCCTGATGCCTAGTAATCCCTCGATAAATTAAATTCCCTTACTTCTATCCCAAAGTACTGTAAGCTCTGACAGCCCACATGGCTGGGACAAGAACCCTGGCTGCTGGAGCTTGGGACTCCGTGCTGGCTGGGGGAGGAATGGGAGGGAGGACCAGACACTAAATGAGTCTGTCCATGGCTCTGACTTGGTCCTGACACCCTGCAGCTTCCTCCCAACAAGACATCTCTCCACTCCTGTCCAGGAGCAGATTACTGGAGCCACAGGCATCTGCCAGCTCTTATTCTGGCCAAGTTCTGCCAGGCAAGAGGGCGTAGAGCAGGGCATGTCTCACCGCACATAACCTCATGGAGCTGCAAACATCCTCCTGTCCCTTGGGTCACCTGGCCTGGCCTGGGCAAGGAACTCTGGTGGCCTTTTGGGGAAAAGGAATGTCCCCTGGTCATAGGCACCCTTTTAGCCTTGGCTTTGTCCAAAAAGTCTAAAGCTTGGTTGGGTGTGGTGGCTGATGCCTGTAATCCCAGCATTTTGGGAGGGGAGGCTGAGGTGGGAGGATCACTTGAACCCAGGAGTTTGAGACCAGCCTGGGTAACGTGGCAAGACTCCATCTGAACAAAAAATTTAAAAAATTAGCTGTGCATGGTGGTGCATGCCTTTAGTCCCAGCTACTCAGAAGGCTGAGGCAGGAGAATCACTTGAGCCTGGAAAGTTGAGGCTGCAGTGAGCTGTGATCGTACCACTGCACTCCAGCTTGGAAACAGAGCAAGACCTTTTGTCAAAAACAAAACAAAACAAAACAAAAAACAAACGAACAAAAAAGAGTCTAAACCTTGATATGCACTGGAATCCCAGGGAACCGGTTACCATGGCGATTCCCAGGTCCCAGGCTCCCAGAGTCTGTCTAAAGGGTCTACGGCCAGGGCGCAGGAACCTGCAATTTCAACAAGTCCCCCAGTTGATTCCAAGGCACATGATCTGAGGCCCAGATTTGAAATCACTCTCCCAGTTCCCCTTGGTGAGGAGAGGTGTAGCATGTAGCAAGGACCAGGCTCACTTTGGAGCCATAGTCTCTACCGCCTACCAGCTGTGGGACCTCGAGCAGGCTACTTACCTTTAGTTTCCTTATGTGTAAAACACAGATAATAAGAGAATCAACCTCATAGGTAACATTTAAATAAGGCAATGGGTGTAAACCATGGAGGATGTGCCTGATACCTAGTAAGCCCTCGATTAATTAAATTCCCTTACTTGTATATTTGCATTAACGGGGCTTGCTCTGTTAAAGGGTAGGCTGCTTTACGTCTGGGTGTACATGTTTCTCAAGCTTAGTTATTCAGAATGAATTTTTGCCACACAAGGCATCATGCCAGGGTTCCGTTTCTTTGTCATTCGCCACTGCAAATATTTTGGCAAGTAAGCCTGAGGATGGAGACGCCCCTGCTTCCAGTCTTTGTGACATCCTCTTCCTTGTCAACACCACTTTCCTGCCACAAATACAGAAACCCTCCCCCGGTGACCTTCACCCTGACCCTGCTGGGGGTGGGGTGGGTGAAGGGAGCTCCTGCAATTCAGCAACCCTGCTCCTATCTCTCTCTTGGGCTGGAGAGGGCAAGTGTAAATAGTAGTTGCCAAACCAGGAAAGGGTGACAAACTGGGGGCCACATCCCTCGCCCCTCCTGGAAAGGGGAAAGGCACCCAGCCCAGGCAGGCACGAGGGTGGAAAGCAGGGCCGCTGAGAGAGGCTCACATCTGCATCAGCTGCTCAGTCTCCTGATCGGGGCGGGCTTCCACCTGAATGATCCTGAAGGAGCCAGCAACCCCTTGTCACTTGGGTCATATTTCAAAGGAGGAGCAGGTCCCTACAGTCCCCAAGACCCTGGCAACAGTGGTGTCAATCTTTGGGATTCAGGGAAGCTACTGAGATTAAGTCAAAATAAGGGAATTTGAGGAAACAGGAATCTATGGATGCAGGTTTGTGCGTGTGTACATACACACACACACACACACACACACACACTCTCAGCCCTTTCCCAAGGGTCTCCCTGCCTGGCACATATTCCTTGGCCTGCTCAGCTTCTGGCTGGGTGGCACCAGCCCATGTCCCTGCCTCAAATGTGCCCTCTGATGGCAGGTGGGAGGAGGTTGGTCATTTGCAGAAACTCCTTCTGCTGCCCGTGTATGCTCTAGGAAACTCTACCACCAAATACCCTGGGAGTTTTATTTTTCCGAGTTATCGTTACTTTGAGATTCCCGCTGCTGAGATCTTTTCACAGTTTCATAGAGGCTAGAGCTGAAAATATCCTTAAAGGTAATGATAAGTAATGGCTGCCATTTGCCAAGGGCTGCTCTGTGCCAGGCTGTGTGCTAAGAGGCTGTCGCAAGGACCATCTCACTGATTTCCAACCACAGCACTGAGGTGGAGTCAGATGTCATCTCCATTTTATAGACGAGGAGAGTGAGGCCCAGAGAAGTTAAACAACTTGCCCAAGGTCACACAGCTGGGAAGTAGTGAACTAGGGTGACTCATCCATTAGGCACAGCAGGCACCCTGTCTAGGGCCCATGGAAATGTGTTAATTTCCTTCAGAATCAGAAAGAAAAACATGAACTTTGGGGATGAAGAAAAAATTAACATAGTAATAGTAACATGTTTGTCTTCATACCAATATAGTTGTAAAACATAATTTTTAATATTTTTTATGGGGGAAAGGATCTACAAAGGCAAAGGTGCCTAACGTCCATGAAAGTCACAATGGGGCCGGGGTGGAGGCAGAATTAAAATCCCGGTCTGTCTGCCTTCAAAGTTCGTGTTCTTTTCAGTCTAGTCTAATCCCGTTTACAGGTGAGGAAACTGAGGTCCAAGGCCACACAGCAAATGGCAGAGCCAGGTAGAGAGCTCAGGTTTCCAGTGAGCCAACCACCATGGCGTGTGGTCCGACGGCACCACCCGGTGGCCTTTTAGGGAACTTACCTTTAGTCCAGAGGTGAATCTAGAAAGAGGAAAGGCTCAGACAGGTCCAGAC